TCTCCGACTCAGAATCTGGAAAAGGGTGGCGTTTTGAAAATAAGTCTCTAAGCTCTATTTTTTGGTTTTCCATTATTGTTTCATACGCTCTTCTTCGGCACATGGTCTTGTTTTGCAGATTGAAGCAGTATAATTTTGATATAAAAGATATAATTCTTTGAGGTGACATTGTCGGTAAATTTTCAAAAATTTTTTTATTTTTGGTTTAAATTTGACCAACTGCCGAAAGATTAGCATATGTACTTTATTTACACCAAAGGATTTGTAATTCTATTAAAGCAATAAAAAACGCCACCCTTTTTAGAAAATTGAAGTTTCGGTCGGTAACAATATGACTTCAGCATCCTCTTAAGAAAATATCGTCAAAAAATACAAGAATTATTTCACGAAAAAGGAAAAATAAAGGGAAATAAATTTCATGAAGTTAGGGAAAAATTAGCAATAAATTATCTTGTCGGTTTATCGTTTCTTGAAGTAACGGCTTCATATAAATATGTATATATTTAACACAGATTTTCTTTACAGCATGACTCCAAAATTGCAAGAACTTGCGAATGATAAAGTACCGATGAAAAAATCGCAAGAATCCAATTATAGGATGCAAATTGTTTGGAAAAACGTCGTTATCTTAAGCTATTTTCATCTTGCCAGCTTATATGCCCTGTATCTAGCCTGCTACAAAGCCAGATTTTGGACAATTGTTTGGTGTACGTATCTTTTTATACGTATTTAATTTTTTTTTCTTATGTAGGCCACTGCGATCTTTTGATATTCTTTTGATTATATTTTTTTACACACAGCATAATTTTTATAACGTATAGTGGTTTATGCAAAAAATTTATTAAGCTGAGCCATGTGTCTCAAAAGTTATTACAATTTCAAACGTTACAATATCAGCAGTATCGACTGACATATGTATTTATTTATAATTTGCAGTTTTTACCGTTGGTATGGTCTCGAATATAGGCATTACTGCTGGTGCTCATCGATTATGGGCTCATAAAGCTTATAAAGCAAAATGGCCAATGAAGCTTATTCTCATGATTTTTCAGAGCGTTGCTTACCAAGTAAGTCTAACGAGTTTTTAAGTTCATTGGACTCC